CCCCCCATGTGCTTCAAACACAGCCATTCTCCCACCTTCCCCAGCCTGCAAAATGACACCTGGGCTTTGAGAGTCAACTGGAGCATTCCATTCTTTTCTATCATGACTGGGAAAAATGCTCCTGCAGGCAATGTTTTACCCTCAGTTACACTTAGGGAAAGCCCTATATTCATCCTGGGAGCTGTTTGTTCAACTCCTGCCAGGGCATAATGAACAGCTCTGCTGCTTGTAGGTAAGGAAGAGCAGAGTTATTCTACTCCTCCAGCTGCATGTTCATGCTGGAGGTATTTGAGAGTGTATTTTGTCAGTGCCTATGATGGAATACGCAGCAACAGAGCTGCTCAGATGGAAGGTGCCATTTCTGGTCTGGCCCTATCTCAGAGCACATCACACCACAAGTCTGATGTATCACTGCCTTGCATCTTATCTGCCTACTGCACAGTCAGTGGAAAACTCTGCATGCAGCCCTGAGCACTGCTCAGCTGTCTGGTGTTTGCCAAGTTTCTCTGAATTTCGAAGCACAAGTTCTGCCTGTGATACCAAGGAAACCAACTTCCCCCACTTTAAGACTCCTACGTGAGATCCCGCTCAGTTAAGATACAGAGCAAAGAACGCATCCAAATGCCTGTGTGAAGGGCAGGTGAAATATTCTTCTCCACTAGTCTTGCACCAAGTACCTCGCATCTAACTCCTGAGCCCAAGGACTGCCTTGCCAGGAAACAGGGAGCACCACGAGAAAGATAAAAGGAGGTGCTGGTGTAGTGGGTGTTCAGGAAGACTTGTCCAGCCCTCCCCTCTGATTGTTTCACTTGGCACTTGTACATTAAGCTTCAAAAGGAAACTCTTCTGCAGGATGCCTCCTTGACCCTGACACGCTATATTGCTATCACGTTGCATCTTGCTAAGAGACAAAAGAGAGTTTTAAAAGAAGGAGGCACCTCAGCTCAGGGCATTTGTTCAGAGGCAGGAGATTCCCTTCTCACTGCCACGTGTCTCTAGCGACCTGCCAGTTGTCACCGTGTACCCTGGTTCACATGTACTGAGACGTGTGGCCAAGGCCATCTTCTCATCTCGGTTTAGTCTGCAGATTAGAGCTTAACATCAAGTTACCACAGTTCACCAAGTTTCCATGAGTCAGCTGAGATGAGGTTCTGCCCACAACAGCTGAAAGGTAATGTGATTTAACCTGGTCTGCAGTGAAAGAAAATTAAGCTAAGCCGCATTATTGCACTTTTGCCATCAGTGAAGAGAGCACATGCTGAAAAGTCCTGGGGCACAGCCCCCAGGGGGAGTGTTCAAGTCACGTGTGACCACCTCTTATGCTGGTGTGCAATACCTCTGCACACAGACCTCATCCAGTTACAGAATTTACACACTTTTGGCTTGCTGTTTTAAGCAGCAGAAAATGTGGAGGTCGTGCCTCGTAGTACAGAACAACAAAATGCCCCAGCAATAAGAAAAATCCTACAAGCCTCTAAGAACAGCAAAAGGAATAGCACAGATCTGGGTACCTCAGGAACATCCACTAGTGGACTGACAGGGCTTCAAATAATGTTGAAACAAAAATATTTCTTCAGTCCCTCTCAAACTCTAAGTGCTCACAAAAACATGTGTGTTGGTTTTACAGGGGTAAACCAACCCTTTTCCCTTCCCAAAGTATCCTAAAACAAAGACAGTCTGCTGCAAAAGTCACAAACCATAGTCCTCACTTCATATCTTCTGGCACAGAGTTTGGCCAGCTGACTGGGAATGTTGGATAAATGGGACTGGCATTTTCCAGGGATTCGGTCTACATGTGGGATGTACTAGTTAATTCTTTTGGACAACATGTGAGGGAAGGTTGCCTCTTGCTCATGCAACTAAAACTGGCGAATGCATCCACAAAATTGAGAGGTGATATGAAACAGTATGTGCGGTCTGCCATCCTTCCTATATGACGACAGTGCTAAAGGATCACTTGAAAGTGACTTGTTGTGCTATTTCATGCAGGATATGCCACTTCACCTTCAAAAGCTTTATGAAGGCAGTTATGATTGCAAATGCAAATGGCAGCAAAGCAGAAAATTCCAATCTGAGGTACAGCATACCACTGCTGTCCTGCTGATCTGAGGTCTGCGGATGCTCCTATCAGAGTTCCAGCTATGGATCACTCTTTAAGTACATGCAGAGGCAGAGAAAGAAAGGTATAGTTAATAATTTAAAACAGTACCAACCAGTGGTAGTCAGGTAAAAGAATAACCTTAGTTCACTCTGCAAATATTTATACAATACTCTTATCTCCAGCTCTGTTCTCTGCAGCTGTAGCCTAATTCTTATTGTTCCAAATTTTGTGAACTGTGGCAAGAATTACATCTCCACTGGCCTGGGGTCATAGCGCAGGTTGTATTTTCAAACACATGTTGTATGGTAGTAACATATGAAATAAGCCTGGCCCCAGAACCCCAAAAACTTCTGAGCGAAAACAAACTGAGAGATTAGGTTCTGGGCTGGAAATATCCTGTAAAATGAAAAAGAGGTGGAATGTCGTTGCTTAAATTAAAGGCAATGTTTTAAAAGTTTCAGTCACATGCAAGTGCTTTTACAGCATCAAGAAGACGGAACCGTAGAAGGAATCCGAGTTCACCTTCAGTAAATGCCAGCTTCCATAGGTCTGGGCTGATTTTGGATGTGGGTGCCTGCACTGAGCTGGGAGATTAGAAGTTCAGCAGGGATCCTCTGGCGTCACCTTGTCCTGCTGCCCATGCTGGAGTGGTGATGGAGCACCCCAGGAGCAGCTGAGGCGGCGGGACTCGTCATTCCCGTCTGGAAGAGGGGGCTGTTGATCAGTGCATGCCCCCGACCTTCCTGCAGCAATCCCCAGCAGTCTGGCCAAGTTTCTCCTGCTGAAAAACAACCCTCAAAGCACTCAAGAGGGAACATAACTTTCACTATCCATGAGGTGATGGATATGGGAGAGAGGACCTCTCCAGATAAAGCAGAAAATTACCTTGAAGAAAGTAGGCATAGGCTCTCCTTTGAAGGGTTAGATTTGTGCACAGGATGTCTAATGAAGATTTGGGAGAAAGAGATAGGGAACATTTCCATCAGCCATAAGAATTGGTGCAAAACTTGTCAGTGATGCTCATAACAGCTGAAAGCACTGGGATTGAAATCTGTTTGCATCTGTGTTTGGGCCTCTTTTGCTTTCTCATTTTCCCCCACTCATCTCTGCTCAGTATTTTGATTAATGTGAGGGGAATATATCATCAACCAGATTTCTGTGGTTGTTTGAGACAAAGGTGTGTTCTTGAAGACGTTTATTGAGTGTAATTAGCCACTCATAATAATTTTAGTACAACCAATTAACAATGTTATTTTCAATTTATTTTTATTGTCTTTTAACATGCTTTGCACTTCACACCTGGCAAAGCAAAGGTATGAAAAAATCAAGTCTAGGATTGTTTCTGTCAGTTATTGTACATACTATCTAGTGTTCCACATAAAATTATTCATACTCAGCTACTTATTCATGACTTCTAATTAGTACTTAGCTAATCATCATCTGCAAAGCAGACTCATTTTACTTAGTTTATTTTAAATTAAGGCTACTGGGGATTAGCAACTAGAAGGTCACTTGACAAAACGCCAACCTTGCCTGTCAGACAAAGGTTACTCTAATGAGCTCATGAATTCCCAACACTGTGCGCTGCCTGCATGGGTACCTCTCCAACAGGATCATAGAGCAGACTTTAGCCAATGATTGGTTAATGCCAATTTACTCAGCAGAATGCCTCCTGTTGCTAAAGCTTTTCCACTGCAACAGTGCTTGTAAAGTCCCTAAGAAATCCTAGCATGTGTACTAGCTTTGCATACAGCAACTTTGACCAAAGGATAAAGTTTTGCAGCAGCAAATTTCAGAACTCCTGCATCTAGGCGAAAAGATAAACATTCAACATTTCTCTCAAGAGCTGATCTTTTTTTGTTTTAATTTTTATATATATAAATATATCATAAAGCGTACCATTTCCTCATTTCAGTACAGACTTTTTTTGAACTTTACTAAAATAAATGAAATATAAATGCTACAATTTTATGTTTAAAATGAGTTTTGATGAAAGCCTCCCCCTAAGAGCAGGCCCAGAAACTCTGTTAGCTATGTGGAGAGAGACAAAAACACCCCCAAAAATTTCCTCCTATGCAAGAGCATTCAGAATAGCAGATGTGCCTCAGCTGGAGATGCTTGCAGGTGTCTGTGAGTTTCTCACGTGAATGCCCACTCTCCTTAGTAGCAACTGCTTTATTACTAACCTGAAAATTTCACATTCAACATGTATCTCCCTTAAATTCATTGTCAAGACCCAGTTTTTCATATCTGTGTCTGCCTTTGCTGATCAGGATTGCAAATTGCTGAATTTTCAGATAAAGCCATGTGAATCCAACCACTGTAAACCTAGTAAAAAAATGTCAACCTCTGTTTTGTCCCTTCTCCTTCACAACCTGGAAAACGTTCACAGCATTGAAATAAGGAGGCATAGGAGTGGACAATATACCCCATACATTTTGCACTTTTGTACTTTTTCCCAATCTTGTCTTTGACCTTAACTGGTGCCTCCTGGACAGGTTCTAGCTGAATCTCATCCACCCATCACAACCCCTTTGGTTCAGCCTCTACAACACTTTCAGGTCCTGCAGGTGAATACTTAACAACTAAAGCAGCAATCTAAAATCTGTCAGTGTGTTTTGCTGCCAAGGGTTTTGTTGTTGGCTCACTCTTCCTCAACACCTACTTTCCAAAACCAGACACATTAAAACAAACAAACAAACAAAAAAACCCAAATAAAATTTTAAAACAATGATAACACCACAATATCTGTTTAAAACAGTACTGCCCATGCTCTGGACAAATTGATAAGAGCAATTCAGCATTCTTATAATTAATCCACAACAAAAGAAGCTATAAGATGCCACAAATAAAGGCATAATTGGCCATACAGAGGCAACACTACCATGAATGTTGTTTGGCAAGGAAAAAAAAAGCAGATACATAATTCATCCAAAGAATGGGTTCAGAACTGCCCGGCACTGCTGGGATCACACTGCAGGAGACGGACTATGGATGGATCACTCTTGGCGCCTCGGATGAACTCTTCCAGAGAGAGCTTTCCTAGAAAAGAAATGTGTTTACTTAGTGCATGCAGTGGGTCACAGCATACCTGACAAGCCTCTGGACAAACATAGTATGAGGAAGCAGGGGGAGCCCAAGGAAAATCCCTGGGAAATCAACCCTGCAAGGTAAAGTCCTGCCTGGCTGCACCCTGCTGGCCTTGTATGGTGGTGGCTTTGCAGGATTGTCCTGTGTGGGCGGGACACCCCAGCCACCCCCCCTGAAGGGTGCCTACCATCACGGTTGGTGTCCATCTGACGGAAGATCTTCTCTGTCCTCTTCTCTGGTGTTGACTCATCTTCTGGCATCTTCATTACAGATGAAACCATCTTATAGATTGCCTGTGTGATAGACAGGAGCAAAGAGCTGGTAAGAAACACATTATCTTAATGCAAGGGTATGATTACAGATATAGGCAGAAAATATCCTGGAAACATTGGCTGGAACCTGTTCTGGGATGCTGGAGGGCATTGGGTGGCACCAGTACACGCAGCTTCCCTCTTCAGTGAGACACTCATTTATGAAATACTGTGTTTCTTCATTTAGTCACGGTTGAACACCATCTGGATTTGGACTGAGGTTACATTTTTCCTTATTAAAACAGTCTTTGGATGAATTTAGCATTTGTGCAGCAAGTTAGGCATTGGCAGCTCCCAGAGCCTGGGGGAACAGTAAGACCACCGAGGTCATGTCCCATGCTGTGGTGTGTCTCTCTGCTTTGGCCTTCCAGGTTTTATCCTCGCTACATCTGCCTCCTCACCCTGCCTTTGCTTCTCCCCCATCTCCTTTCTCTCCCTCCCTGTGGCAGGGAGGGCAGTGACTCACTCCCTGCATTTGCTGTGTCTCCCAGATAACAAAGACTGGACCATCAAAGAGCTGGCCTTTTCCTTGGGGGTTGGTGTGCGAACACAACTCAAAATCCCATTCACAATTCGTTCTGGTCCCACAGAGCACTGGCACCACCCATAGCTATTCTCTGCACAGACAAATTCATTAGTCATGTTTGGTACTAGCTCCCCCGAAAGAGAGGTAATTTAATTTTAAAACAAGGATGAGGATCTGTCTCTGAAGTCCTTATCCAAACGTTGTCTGCAAACATGAGCACGCAGCACCGATAAACAAGTGGGTTTTGTGTTAGGTATCTTTACAGCGCCACAGCTGGGACAACAGCAGCAACCAGACAGCTTCAGGATGGTGGCCTTGGGTGATCTTCACGGCCACTTGGAGGGGCAGCACATCCCAGCCCAAGGCAGCACTGCCCAGGTCTAACCAGCTCCTTCTGCTTCCCACTGCAGCTCGTTGGCGCTGCACCGGGCATCACCTTGCCTGGCAGCTCTGTAGATGTGGATCACTTTCTCCCACAGATTCAAATGCTTGTTTTCACCCAATATGGTTTCTCCAGTGGACAGTTAACAAGTTAGTGAAGATGTGATTGCTTCAGTTAGGGAGCTGGGGGAAGGAGGCAACAGAGGAAGAGAAAAAAAGGAGAGGGTGGACATTAGAATTTACACCTTCCTCATCCTCATCAGCATGCAAGGCTCGCAAGGGTCAGAGCAAAGATGAGGCTTATAAATCTGCCAGTGTTTAAGCATCTGAAGCAGTCTGGCTTTTGTCTGGGGTAGGAAGAGAGGTGGAGGGGTCATTCCCCCACTATGGGTGAGAAGACAGCAAAGCAGAGAATCTGTATTGAAAGTGTGGGAGGAATGCGCCAGCCCGGGAGTGCAGGGGTGTTTACCCTGATCAAAGTAACCATAGTAAGAATATGCAGATTTTTAGGACAAAAAAAAGCGCTTCAGGATGACTTCATCCTACAGGGTCCTTTTCACAGAGGCGTGTGAAGGGAATAACAGATGAGATATTCTAGGAAAGCCAGATGGGAATAACATAGTAAGCGTTCCTTTCATGCTGAAAATGGTTACTCTGGACAAATTCTTATGTCCTTACTCAGAAGTTTAGTGGGAAGTTTTCCCAAAATAAAGGCCAGTTAAAGCTGATTAAGAATCTTGAGACTTGCCCCATATTAATTCAATGCAGCTACACAGAGCTTTTTATTGTGTTTGAAAGAGCAAGCTCTGAAAGGAAGTTGGTTTCATGCAATGATTATGTGGAGTTGGGCTGTACTAACCCCATGCTGGGACCTGGGACTGAAAGGCTGCAGGAACTCCACCCCACATGGAATGTGACTCCTCAGCTTCCCAGCACCTGGGCTGAAAACCATCAGTGGCACTCAGAAGGAGAAAGTTTGGAGGTTGCTGTATATCAGCAGCCTCATGAGTCAGGGTACCTTTCTTAGGTGAACTTCTGTCAGGAGCGCTCCTTACAGCTCCCTGGCACCCCTGAATGCCACCAAGAAGTGCCTCCAGAACCCTGTGTACGTCACTGGAGCAAGCACAGGCTCCAGCTTCATCTGCTGCCCTGCTGCACTCTCCCCTTTGATTTTCCAGCTGCCTGTGGATGAGCAGCAGTGGGTGATTTAGGGAAAATCTCATCCTATTCCCTGTACGCACTGGTTTTGCTCCCAGTCACTGGCTGCCACTGCTGCACTCAGGCCAGAAGCCTTGGTGAGAGCTGCATTTCCCTGTATACCGAGCAAACTGTCAAAAACCTCCTTACAGTGATGGCAGCAATGACAATATGAGTTTTCAGTCAATACTTTTTGCTCTGTTCAAATAAATTTTGACAGCTAAAAGTCTCATGAGGTGAAAAATCAGCCTGAAAAAAAATTGCTTTCCTCTCAATCTCATGGAGATTTTTGACACTGTCTTTACAGAGTCATATTAGCTTCTGCTTCTTCCCATATCAGCTTCTGTTTCTTCCTGGCTTGAAAATAAGATAGCCCAGCAAGCGAAACTTGTGTGCTCTGTTTTTATTAAACTGAAAGTGTTATTCTTGTCTCTCTGCTCAGTATTCTTAAGATGGCTTTTGACTCCATACAGTGAAAAAATGTATCCTTAGAAAAAGGTTTCCATCTCTTATTTGAACTCTTATTTTAAGAGACTGTAGCCAAATATGTCCTGTTTCAGCAAGGGGAACAAACGCAAACCTTCCAGCTGGTTTGCAGCTATTTTTGAGTAGACTGGGCTATTTAGATTATAGGTAAACATATGGGAGACATGAAAAGCTCGAGACATGAATTTAAGAGGAACTGTGGCAAGGTCTGTCAAGAGGGCAGGCGATGAAGCATCTTCCCACAGTACTTTGCAGATGTGCCGTGCCTGATAAGTGTAACAGTATCCCATGGACATTCTCTCTTTAGGCTCTACCACTGTCAGTCCACCACTGAAGTCCTTCAAGCTATATGAACCTCCACACTGTACAGTTGGCTTCTTGTGGGTCTCTAGGCAAGGCTTTTTGGAGGGATTCTCCTGGGCAGGTGTGGTGAGTCAGCACTGGGCTATGCCTACATGGTTAACTGCATTACGATAAATGGAGCTTAAGGGAATGCAGGTGCTTTGCCATCCAGCACATCACTTTGCAAAGAAAACAGGCTTCAAAGAGCTGTTAGGGACCATTCATGTTCATCTCCTTGGCAGCTGGTCAGTCACTAGGGCTCCTGTGGGGCATCTTAACCAGTAGTCCTGCTGTTTCAGTGCTGCTGCTGCTACCACTGTTACCTCAAGCTCCTTATTGCAACACTGAGCAAGAGTGCAATGATTGCATTGCATTAGTTTAGGCCAGAGCAATGGAAGGGAAATGCAAAGAACCATCTGCCTAACAGTGAAAATCACTGAGAGAGGGCTCTCAAAGCACAGAGAAAAGCAGACAAAAAGAAGAAAAGTGTGCCTTCTCCTATATTATTTAAGATACAGTAATCCCACAGTAACAGGGACAGTATTTATCTTTGAAACTAAGACTTTTAGTTTGATGGTGTCTCTTTTAGCATTCATTTTGATGTATTGTCTTATGCAAAAATCCAGTGAAATCATAATCCTGCTCTATCGATATGCAAATTTATACTAGATAAGGGATTTGTAATAGGTTCCTTTGAGACATATATCAGAGTTACAACAGAGTTCTGGTTTTCACTATCAGATTGTGACAGCTGAGGGCCCCCAGGAAGACATGTGATACAGAATCCTGTCATTCCATATTAAAAAATAATCATCTTTCATAAATGAAAGTGATAGTTGTTTGCTGGCTTTTTGTATCTAACCACTCTACATCAAAGAAACCTCTCAACAAAACAGGAAAATATGCTCATCTACTTCAGTTTTCAGATATCAGCTGTACACGGTTCCAGAGACTATACAACAAATCCTACCCCACTGGGAGGAGCTGTGGATGACCAGTGCAATATAGGGAGATCAATGCATCCAAAAAAACCTGAAAGAAGAGAACAGGGTGAGATCTACAAGCACATTGCCTCATGGAAGCTCCATCACAGAAAGGTCAGCTTTCCTGACTGGAAAACCGCTGATGTTCCATGGTACAGAAATAACTGTTGCTCAGGCTAATTGGGCTGTTCACTTCAATAATTGCTTTTTGGGTGATCCCCCAAAATTGAATCCCTCAAAATGAGGAGGGATTATATGAGAGAAAGCACCATGTGGTTGAGTTTCAGGTTCAATCTGAGAAGAGGAGAGAGCCAAACCTCCCAAGAAGTGCCGTGGAAGGGCTGGAGTGCCAGGCTGAGGGCTGTGCATAGCCAAAGTGCTGCTTGGGGTTGGATACACACATTAACAGAATGTCACCCTAGGCTGATCCCTAAGCTGCAATTTTGTTTGATGGCTGTAAAGGACAATGCTACTATTTGGTACCATCATGAATATGAAGAGAAGGCAGAGTGTTTCAGCCTCTAAACATGCTGGCAAGCAGATCTGGGATAACTGGAAAAAGCTGCCGGCTTTGCCTGTCCTTGTTTGGCTCACTACAGAAAATCCAGCCACCAATGTTTTCATTAAATTTGACATGAACAAGTTTGTGGCCTTGTTGTCCCTGTTTGTAAATCTCCTGGCCTGGGGTGTTTGTGCTGCCTCTCAGCTCACTGCCTTCCCGGGCTCCCTGACAGCAGCGAGGGGTCCTGCAGCACCTGGGGTGTCTCTTCCTCCTGAGGAGCAGGTGGTCACTTGGGTTTGGCTCCTTGTGTTTGCTGTGTGCTACGTTAGTTCTTTTGGGATTCTTTTTGTTTTCTCATGAGGAGAAATACAGCTAGAAAAACAATAATTGACAGGCTGTTTATCCTGCCTGGGGGAGAGGAAGATTTGTAAGGAACAGAGAATTGTCTAATGCAAATATTCCACGGGGTTTGTCATGGCACAGAGACAGGGAGGTCTCTGGATCTGAAAGCAGTTCTGCTCCTCAGCTCAGACACAGGAACACAAAACAGACTAAGTGAAAGACAACAAAGCAACCCCAGACTTGCAGCTGAGCTTTGTGTCTGGTCTTGCTGAAGCAGTGCAAGTGCTGGCATTGGCCGCTGTTCGGAGGGCGTGAGAAGAGCCCTGGTAGACACACAGGAGTACCACGTGTTAGGCTGACTCCCTACATGCAGCTTGCCACCACAGCCTGAAATTTGTGTGCATTCCTTTCCCTTGATTTCCAATACAAATATAAGTCTGAATAATACAGTACATTGTTAGCACATCAAAATTTCCAGGGAAAGGAAAGGATCTTGATAACAGCCTTTTCTTTTTTTTTTTTTTTTAACAGCGCTGCATTATACAGATTCAAGCTGTGTAAATACACTACAATATAAAAAATGTTTAAAATATTTCAGTAGAGTGATGTGCCTCAAGGGCAAAAACAAGTTAGAGAAAGCCAAAGTGAGGTCGGACTCCTCCCAACATCACAAGAAAACACAACCAATGGGGCTGTATGCGGAATCATCATCTACCCAGACAAGATTTATCTATACTGGCAACCTAATATGAAGACAGCTAGTATGATTTTAAGTACACAGACCTCACTGGAATTAAACACATAGACATCTTTAAAATATGTGAGCTGGTTCTTCATAATAACATGAAGTAAACATCAGTAACAAATCAAAGCACATGTTTCTTATTGTGGAGGAAGCCTGCCTTCCTTACAAATACACGGCCTGGTTGTTCTAATATACCTACTTTGTTCAACTGTAATTAATCATAATTAATTGAGGGTGATTACCCAGAGGAGAGAATCACATGTATCAGCAGGTTAGTTGCTGTGTTCCAGCCCAACAGAAATGCCCATGCAGCTTGTTGCTCAGGAAAAACTTGCAGTGGGTATCAAATGCTGTAGTTTGAATTGTGACACGATCTTTGCCAAATAAAATAGCATTTTGTATCCAAGCAGCTACACAAGATCATAAACTAATATTGCCATTTTTTAATTCAGTGTCTCATTGCAACATTTCTTCACAATTTGCTGGGGAGGAGGGAGGCCAAGGGGCGCCTCTGAGCAGCACATACCTGCACAATTTCCAGCATCTCTGACTTACTGATGTAGCCGTTCCCATCGAGGTCGTACATGCTGAATGCCCACTTCAGCTTCTGCTCCAGTTTACCTCTCGACGTTACGCTCAAGGCTATGATGAATTCTCTGAAATCTATTGTTCCGTCTCCATTGGCGTCAAAAGTGCGGAATACATGTTCCGCAAACTTAGAAGCGTCCCCATAAGGGAAAAAGTTTCCATATATTTTTTTAAACTCCTCCATAGATAAATGTCCGCTTGGACAGTCTCTCAAAAAGCCTTTGTACCACTCCTGGATCTCATGTTCTGTAAAGTCTGTACTTTCTAGCAAATCTTGCATGACTTCAGGGCGTAGTTTGCTGTTTTGCTTTCCCATATTGGAGTTAAAATATTACCTGCAGAGCAAAAACAAATGCATATGAATTATTATTAATACTGACTAGATTGGAGGCTGCAGACAGGACGCTATATTCTGAATTTTCTGATGACAGTTCACTCTTGGGAATCATTTGAAACTTTGGACAATGTTTACCACTACAGATATACTCTGAAAAATCAACAAGCCTAATTTACATGTTGATTACATAGTCTTGACAGTTTGGAGAACTTTGATTACATTGAAATTTTGCCATCCTACTTTGACCTTGAAAGCAGGAGCATGTTGCAAGGTGCAGCTGACCAGTAGCTGGGTGTTGCAGCACACCCTCCATCCCAGTCACCCAACTGTGTCGAGGACCTGGACTAATGAGAAATATTTTTTTGTACCTCTGGTGGAAGAAACCAGGCAGGTACAAAGGGCTATAATCCCTTGGTCTTGCTTCAAAATGGGATCAAGGTGCAACTGCTGTGTATGCTGAAATCAGGAGCTCCAAAGACCTTCTAGTAATATCTTTATAGTCAGAATCAAACAGAGCAACCCAGAAATTGCTTCTGTTATTTGGCATGGACCAGTTCCCATTTTACTTCAAAATGAAGATAAAATCTGAAGAGATTTTCTCAGTGGTGGATTCACCTCCCTCAAACTATTACTGTGTTTTTTAATTTTCCTTGTAACCAAAAACTGGATCTATTACTAAGTAATAGTAAACCAGGTGGTCACAGCTATTTGAAAATGACTCTTAAAAAAAAAAAAGGGGGGGGGAAGAAAAGTACCCAGATAACTGGAAATTCATTTCCCTTAAATTAACCATTAAGAAATATTTATTGGATACAGGCTCTGTCAAATCATCTTAATTATATCTAATTTAAGGCAAGTTGCTACATATCATATTGTACAGAAGATTTACTAATGACTAATGCCTTTGGGTTTCAAGTTTTGGAGCAGGAGTATGTTGGCTCCAAAAGGCAACATCAGTGTCATTGGAAGCTTACCATTATACCTGATTTGTGGAAAGCCATTCTCTACCGACAGAAACCTGCTTGAGAATTTGTCATGCAAACAACAGTCACAACTAAGATCCGATACATGGATAACTTAAGTGGAATTGCAAAATAATTTAAACAGGACTTTCACACTGTTGTCGGAATGAAGTCTCTGGGCCAGAAATGTATTTATGAACAATGACTGGAGAGGTTATTGAGCATTCAATAAAATGTCCTTTCTAAACCAAGGTTTAAATCATTTTTAAAAATTGAAGAAGAATACATTATTGATACATGTCACAAGCAGCTACTGAGAAATGTACCAGCATTTGAAGCTAATCTACTGTTTGGCACTTGGAAGATGAAATTGAGGCTAATTTTTTTTTTTTTTTTTGTGATGAGAAGCTCCCCTTCTCCTGAAGGAATTTGAACTCACCAAAGCAGCTAGAGGGCTGACTCCTTCATTTCCTGTGTTCTTGGATCACAATGACCAAAAAGCTTTATTTCTCAAGGGGAAAATTATGGGATCCATCCTAGATCCACCTGTGCCTCCACAAGTTCCACTGATGGCTGTCTAGTAACTAGATATCTAGTCTGGGAACTACCTGTCCTGTCTAAACTCATTGCCTACACAGTTCATGGAGAATAGGCTCCCCTGTTAACAGAGAGGAGGCTGGAAAGGGTGACAAGTCCTGCCTGACGGGAGCTTCTTCATCTCCTCACCATTTCAGGTCAGGAAGTGACCTGGCTGAGTTCCTTGATCCAAACAATACCTTTTCCGCCAAAGTGTCTCCAAAACACCTGAAAAGTGGAAGATACCATCTCAAAGGCAATTTTTTCTGCTGCCTTTCCTCCTTTTACGATGATCAAAACACACCACTGTACAGTTTTTAAGTAATCCAAGCTCTTAATGTCCTGAAAATAGCATATAGTCCCTGTTTTATAGGCCCAGTCCAACAGCTGCCGAGGCAGCTGAAGGTTGCGTGGCCTTCTGCAGGTGTTGGACGGGGCCCACAATAAACAACCTGGGAATTAGCTGAGCAAACAGATTACATTAGGGCAGCCAGAGGGCTTTATGTCAGGCAAAACAAAACTGTCAGGGTCTGCCAGTGGGATGGAAAAGCAACTGGACAAGTGAAGTGGCTAGGCTTAGTTTAGAGTGGCATCAGTTTGACACAAAAACCCCCAGTATAATCCCCAGAGTAGGTGGCAGCTGCCCACAGCCCCGGTCGGCAGCTCTTCTGCAGCCCTAAGGGCAGCACAATTTCCTGACCACTAGAGTAGGGAGGGAAGACTCCTGACAAAGGTGCAAGCCAACTCTGGTAGGAGTGAGCTGGCATTAGCCATATAATTCCCTCCTGCTTTTTAATGACTTGAACATTTGAAAATGGAAAACTCTACTTGCACATTTCCAGTCCAGAGTCTTCTCAAAAATAAAATAGTGAGGTAAGCTGCAGGCAGTGTCCTTCAAGAGGTGGCAAATAAGATTGTGTTTCAGTCCAAAAAATAATGCCTTCATAGCCACACAAAGTTGTAGGTGCAGCATATTTTTACCAAATAATAAAAAATACAGAAGAGCAGAATGCACTGCCTTGCAGAACATCACAACCAGAAAAATGTGTGTTCTCCAGGCAGAAATGGAGAGCTAACAACTCGTGACTTGCCATCCGCAGTTGAAATCCACAGCCACTGTGATGCCAAATGATGCAGTCAAAACCAGTAGCATTATTTCTGAGTCCACTTGTGATGAATTGGTATCATGTTCTTTGCCCTCTATACCGTTCCTTATTAATAGGTGGTATTCTGGGAACAGTCAAAATGGGATTTATTGTGCCCATTCTATCAACAACAGATCAAAATGCTTTTGCAGTCCAAGTACAGAAAATCCTTGAAGGCACTTGAAGATCCTTATAATTGCTTCATAGACTGCTGCCTTACTCTTCAGGACAGATTAGATTATGGGCAGAGTGCAGTGAGCTAAGAGAATGTCAGCTAACAATAACAGCAATAAATGCACAGAATGAAATAAAATTTAACATGATTTTAGGCATTTTTTTCCCACTTTTTCACCTCTGTAGATCTATCAAATTTCTAATATAGGACTAAACGTTAAAAATACAGCAAGTAAATAGTGAACAGCAATCACAATGGCAAAGTAAAATATTGACAATACTGAGAAATAAATTAGGCATTTAGTAATTATGTTTAACTGCATTTCTACAGTTTCTTCCTCTGATACAATGGTGTTAGACAAAATATGAATGACTTGATAGATATAACAACACATTAAAATATTAAGGTCCTGATTCTTAAGGCAATATTGTTTGGTAAAAAGAATGTAATGTCTTTACGGTTTGAAAGGTTGATTCCATTTCAGCCAACAACCACATAAGATCAGTAACTAAAGTATAACTGCTGTGCAGTTGCTATGGAAAGAAACCCTATTCACTGATTGTTGTAGGTAATGTCATAGGCAATGCTCCTTAAAGGAAATACTTAGAGCTTGCTCTATTCAGGTCTAGATGTGGCGTTTTTAAGATGAGACTGAAGACACACATGTTGGACAGACAACAGGCCTGTGACGATTCAGCATAAATAGCCACTGACACTGCACTGACTGGCTTTCCCTGCAGGGCAGTATGTTGTGTGCAGGCAGGACAGTGATGCTGTTAAAGCCTTCTCAGACAGGGAGGACTGACTGGACAGAAAGGCAATGAACACCTATTCCATCATGTGTCTCTTTGTCAGCAGCTTGCTGCTGCTCACAGAGTTGTTACCCCAGTCTGAAACCCCAGGGTAAGACAAACGTATTGTTTGGTTAAGCAACATCCTCACAGGAGCTGGGAAGCTGCAGCAGCCACAGGCACGCAGCTCTTGAATTGCTGCATGAATGCAATGCAAGAATCTGAACGCACTTCCTTAAAAGAAATAATTTTTTTTTTGTTGAAGGTTCGCTATAATAAGTCCTGCCTGATCTATTTCCAGTGGGAATAGCAAGGCAAATCACACCATAGGCTTGGATATAGACACAAACTCAGTTAGTGAAAGCAGAAAACTTTTCAGAAATAAGCAATAAAACTTCCTTGTTGTGATTTTTGTCTTCAGACACTGCTTTCTTAGTTTCCAACACACACAGTTCGACCTTTTTGTTTCCAAAAAATAATCTACTTACGGGTGCAAGGCTGTCTTTAATATTTCTAGCACATAATTTGAGAATTTTCCTGAGACTAGCAACTGTGGGATTTCAATCTTTGCCAAGCAGCTGTACAAGTTCCTGATGATTGCTGGAACAAACTAAAGGCCAAGCAGCACAACAGCATCACTCTGACCCAACTCTGCTACCTGGCAATGGTGAGAGAGCAGCACTCCAGCATGAGTCAGTCCCTTGTGGCAATGCCTAATGACTTGTCTATGGTACAAGTGCGACTCTCCATTCACCATCACCGTTGTGTTTTTTTCCTCCAGAGTAATGGCTGATTGTTACTGAAAACCTGGATGTGTGACAAGTGGACTTAGACACATCATCTACCTCTCAAGCTGTCTACAGACCTGCATACAGCAGGGATCTCACCTTCTTTCATGTCCTACCCACCAGCAGTCATCTCCTGTCACTGTCTACCAGCTTCACAGCACAGCATATAGGGCTCCTGCAAGCGAAATTGTCCTGCCACCACTTTCTGCCACTCCTACCAGTTCGTTCTCTGCCTGTCACTGTGCAAATCCACTGTGTCACAAGCTCAAAGAAGGAGTGCTGCTCTGTCCTAGTTGACCAAACCTTGGTTTGACTCTTACCCTGCAATAAGTGGGGGGATGTCAGGGGAGACTCAGAGCATCTCAAAGCACAGGACTTTGCCTGGGGATGTGTCCCCAAGGATTCCAGGCCAATATTTTGCCCTTTTATCAACACTTCACAGCATCAGAACTACGCTCTTCCTTCTCCTCTGCCAGCTGCTATCATTGCTTGACAAAGCTTCAGATACCAAATACCAGTTCACCAATTATAGCATGTGGCAGTCTCTGCAAACAAAGTTGT